GTGACTTTCTTCTATTCAACTTATTTTAACTTTATGGATTTTTTTGAATGAAGGCTGAGGAAGCTGCAATTGCCACCCTGAAAAGAGCATTAGGTTCCTTAAACACTCACCTTGGATTCACTCAGCTTATGACTAAGAGCTTTACCTTAGAATTTCCTTATGTTGTGAGGTACTTCTGGACCATGGTAAATCAATCAAATTTCAAAAAGATACTAGGTGAGGTGAAGCAGACTGAATCAGTGAAGCAGACTGAATCAGTGCTACCTATTCAGTTTGCAAAAAAGCCTGCACAGCCTAAGGAGGCTAAACCTAAGGCTAAGGATGAACCAAAGAAAGAAGCCAAGAGAGAAGTCCAGAAAGAGCAGGTAAAGGGTGTAGAGGAGGAGGAAGAGGCACCAAAGCCTAAACCCAATTCCTCCGAGTAAGATGATTTTGGATGACTAGAAGAAGCTCTACTCAAATACCAAGACCAATTTTCATGAGGTTGCAATTGAAGGTACAACATTGGTCCACTCTAGACTCATATGATTTGATGCATTTAATTTTATGAACTGCAATTTTATACCTTTCATTGTTTATTGCAGGCTGTTGGGATATATATGATCGTTAGCGACACTCGCCCTGCTTTTGTTATTACAAGTACAATGATAAGAATACAGTCTCGTTTGTTACTATGAACAAGGTAAGTTGGATTCCTTCAAAGGATAAATTTGGCATGCAAGTATGCTTTTGGAAAGATGTCGATGACTAGTTCGAATACCATTCAAGGTGAAGGGATTGTGGCTTTCACATGGGCAAGAAGAAGAAATTCCACAATTTGTCATCAATGAGTGCTGTGACATGGAACTGTTACGATCACAGGCCATATGATGGATAGCCTCTTCTTAATGCCAAATGCTTCAAGTTATGTTCCCCATTTCTAAGGGTTTTCATTTTGGCTTGCTCATTTTCTGGTTATAACATCTAGTTTCTCCTTCTTTAGTTCCCACGTCTTTTGTTTGGTGTGCTATAGAGTATACGTTATTGCACATGATCTATGTCATCAAAGCAGTTGACTGAAAATTACTAAAAGAACTTGACAAAGGCGCATTCGATTTCTTCTAACATTACTTTAGTTGTAGGATTTTTTTATTTTTTATTTTTATCAAAACAATGGTTTAGAGTGCTTGATATCCTCTCTAACGTTATTTAAGTAGTTGGATTTGATCAAAATGTTGGTTTTATATGTGAGAAACATTCTAAAATGTGATAAAATGCTTGTGGAAGCATGTCGTGCATTCTCTGTGGAATCTAATCATTAGATCATAGTCAAAGGAGAAAATAAAGAACAATGACAATATGAACAATGTTCAGTTAACTACCTTGAGTGGACCGCTGCCTTTAAAGATTTCATAAACCGAAACACAAGTGAATTGTTTCAAGGACCCTGTTTGTTTTCCCTATTGAAATAACGCTAATGGCGAATTGTTGATGACTATGAACTGATAGTGGAGAACCAGTTATCTCTATTAACTTTTTTTTTTGTTATTTAATCTTGTTCAGTATCATTGCAATTGCATGAATACAACTTCAATTTCAGGATCTCTTTCTTTCACTAACACTTAGTTCGTTGACAATAATAATTCATATTGTATAATATTTACAAATATATATATATATATATACAGTGCCAACAAAATAAGGAAATTGAATTCGTCTTCGAGTTTTCATTTTGCTGAAGCAGTGTTCAACAAGACATTTAAATAGGCGTTTTCGACTGTTTCCCATTGACTTTAGTTACTTTCCTTCACTCCACTGAGCTCCTATGAAGAGTATATATTTGGGAGAAAATCTTGGTCTACAACACTCAAAGATTGTATGCACTAAGTAGTAGAAAAAACATTGAAATAAGGCGCAAAATGAGTGAGGTAAGTAAATATCATGTTTGGTCCTTAAATTCATTTTCAATCCATTGATAAAAATATTCATTAACATCCATCTTCCCTGCTTGGTGTGACAGTGACGCAAGAAGAAGTTGTAATGGCTGGAACAAGGGAGACCCGATTTAGGCTTAAACTCAATGTATATATAGCTAATAGTTGCATGCATATAATTTCTCAGACATATCATATTCATTCTTAACATGTCTCCCATGTATTTACTTAACTGATATTAGTTGTTCACCAATTTTGTTCTAGCAAGGCTCTATAAAGGATGAAACTGAAAGCTGCAGCTACCAAGGCGAGGATGAGCTGCGTAAGGGAAGAAACAACACAAATGGTTTTTGCAATAGAAGAAATAAAACTTGAGTTTGATCTGTTGAAGGCCTCACTCCACCAACGTTATCAAGATTATTCTTCAACTCTAATTGTCTGAGGATACAAAAAGACCAGCTACTTTATTTTGATGTTGTGTTGATATGTTCCTGTCATCCTAGTTCAATTTGCGTCTCTTTATGTACTACAGTCTAGAGCCCAATTGCCATGAGCCTTTAGGATTAGAGGTGTGTTTTTGGGTTTTAGTTTTTGACTGGTGTTTTTAGGCCGAATAATTGAACTACAAATTTTGGACTATTGTCTCACTTCCTGTAAACACTGCATTTCTTAGTTTTATTTACTTTAATTGAGTAAATGTATATTACTTCATACACTTTCTTGAATAAAAAAATGATAATCAATGAAAATTAAGCAACATCATATTATAGGCCATTCTCTTCAAAGCATGGTACTTTCTCTAGGGTTTGCGGAAATTTATAGGACAGAGAAACTTTGGATTGTAGTCGCTACTTGAATTTCTGTTAATCCATTAATGTTTTTCTATTCAATTGTCTCTTAATTCTAATGATCATAGATGAGTTTACTGATGCATTTAACAATCTGATTTAATAGTTAATTAGGCATCCTCCTTGCTCTTGTAAGTTTTTCCCTACTCTAGAGTTGCTTTTCTTATGGGAATCAAGACAACAACATATCTATTACGTCATGTGATCCGTTACACAGTCAAGGAGGTCCAGTCACGCGAGCTAGGGCTAAGAAGATGCGTGAAGCTTTAAATGGCCTTATTGAGCAGATCTGGGTTGAAAACAACATACAACAAGCAAAT